CAGCCTGGGCTACAGATTGAGGTCTTGTCTTCCCCACCCCAAATTAACATGTAACAATATTAGAAAGTACATAGGTAAAGAATATAACTTTGTATTTCTTAGATGTGTTGCTCAAATCTTAAACTGTTCTTATAATAAAAAAAAAACCTGGTACCAGGTATTGGGGCAAATCAGAGAAACAAAGGAACAAGCCACCTCTTACCTCTAGGATTCCTCAGCCTGAAAAGGCCTTAGTTCCTGTCTCCTCATGCCTTATATACCTTTCTCTGCCCAGCCATCACTTTCTTCCTAGTGCTGGGATTAATGGTGTGTGTACTTCCCCAATACTGGGATTTAAGGCATATGATTCCCAAGTACTGGGATTAAAAGTGTGTGCCACCACTGCCTGGCTCTGTTTTCTCTCCTAGACTGAGTCAATCTCATGTAGTCCAGGGTGGCTTTGAACTCACAGAGATTCAGATGGATCCCTGCCTCCTGAGTGCTAGGATTAAAGGTATGTGCCACCACTGCCTGGCATCTATGTTTAATCTAGTGGTTTACTCTGTTCTTTGATCTTCAGGCAAATTTTATTAGGGTACACCATCTATCACCACAGATATGCATTATGTGCAAGCATTTGATGTACAGAATTATACTATCATGGGTAGAGATTAAATAACTTGCCATTGTGCAGATGTGGGGTTTGGGGCTAAACTGAAGCAGTTTGTCTCTGTCTTTGCTCATAGTTTCTCCTTTTATTATTTTTTGGATTGGTTTTTCGAGACAAGGTTTCTCTGTGTAGCAGCCCTAGCTGTCCTGGAACTCACTTTGTAGGTCAGGCTGGCCTTGAACTCATAGAGATCTGCCTGACTCTGCCTCCCAAGTGCTGGGATTAAAGGTGTGCATCACCACATGCACACCAGCTCCTCACTGTCTCTTTACTATAGTTGCTACAGTGCTTCATCTGTCGGTCATTCTGTTTTAAGTTAGGGGGAAATTCAGAAAAGCATGGTTCATGTTTCCTTCTTTAAGATGTATTTGAATAAATTAAAAAAACAGATGATGAATTGTGTGTAGCACCTGATATGATTGTATGAAATACTATGCATATGACAATGGTGTACACATCTTATTTATAAAGAAAAGATCATACAGTAGGGATAAGTACATAAAGCCTTTTACTGATAGGTCTGCTTGTTGAAGTGTGGGTGCCACTGGAACAGACAGTATGTAGTCTACAGGGACTCTTAGGGAAGAGGGGTTTTCACAGAGGACTTGGGCCTGAAAGAGTGGATAGAATGCAGATTGGTAGAACAGCCCAGGGAGGGTGTGGATCATCCAAGGAAGAATGGTGTGTCAGCCACTCTGGGAGTATCACCTCCAAATTTCGGCATCAGATCTTAGGACTCTAAGACTGGAGTTATACAAATGTTAAGGCACAAGGTTTTTCTGGTTGTATTTAAGGCCTACTCCACAAAGGGAAACACATGCCAGGTACTGTAAACCTGGCCAAGAAACCATGGGTGGGGAGTTCATAGTCCTAAGGGTGGACCTGTGGCCAGTATTCTACTAAATGGGCACAAACCATCCTCTAAATTCCCTTGCCTCTACTCATAGACTAGTGAGGGTCTCAGCCCTCATCAGAGAAGTTTCTCTGGGCAATGGGCAGTGGCTGCTACAGAGACAAATGCAGAGTATCAGTGAAGTGCCCAGCCATAACTGAATGTGTACATCTCCCCTCCCCTGAAGACCCGGGGACCATTGTAGAAGAGGGTCGGAAAGATGAAAGAGCCAGAGGTTGGAGCCAGATTGTGTCTTCTGGGTATGACAGGACCACTGCACTCATGGATTCACAGCAGCTGTGGCTGGCTGCACAAGACCCACACAAGATCAAGCCTACCAACAGTCCAGCCTAGAGGCCGGGGGAATGGTTCATGAGGCCCAACTTTTTTTTTTTTTTTAAATAAAGACAGGGTTTCTCTGTGTAACAGCCCTGGCTGTCCTGGAACTTATTTTGTAGACCAGCCTGGCCTTGAACTCAGAGATCCACCTGCCTCTGCCTCCAGAGTGCTGGGATTAAAGGCCTGTGCCACCACCCTGACCCCACAAGGCCCAATTCTTAACTGAGGAACTCTTGGCAGTTGGTTGCTCCTGGGTGAGACAGAGTCAGTTTCTTTAAGGGGTAGTGAATGAATGACCTCACACTCAGGAATATGTGAATAGGACAAACTGCCCTCACGATGTTATTTTTTAAAAAGAGACAGGAAGTTAGGGGGTAGGGAGGTGGGAAGTGTTTCTGTGAGGAGTCAGGGAGAGTGGTGGCCGTGAGTATGATCAAATTACATTGTATGAACGTCTCAAAGAATTAATACAAACACGTTTAAAAGGGAAGATTAGAGAGATAGCCGGAGGCCAGAGTCTGTTCCACCTTGCGACTCCAGAGGGAGCACTTCGATGTGTCTGTGCACATGAGTGGGGAGGGTGTGGAGGTTCTGGGTGGGAGGGTGAGTGCTGTAAGTTTGCTTCAGTAGTGCGTTTCCCTGACAGCCAGTTAGTCAATGAATAAGTAAACTCACTGAGCAGGAGTGACTAGCGGCTTCTCGGAGAATGACTGATTTGCTAAGTGGAGCTGAATGAAGAGAATGTGTGTACATTGAGGAAAGGGCAAGGTGTAGTCTTGTGGTGGGGTGCTTGTGCGACACGTGGAAGGCCTTAGGCTGGGTACTCATCATGGCAAGCAAGCAAACAAAACGGGCCTGAAGAAGTGTGTGTGTGTGTGTGTGTGAGAGAGAGAGAGAGAGAGAGAGAGAGAGAGAGAGAGAGCATTCTGCTGGGCTTCATATGCTTGCTATATAATAAAAGCAAATGTTTCTTATTGCATCACTGAATTTTGAAAGCTTCGTCTCTAGTTTATAAAGCAGCTGAGGTTTTTCTGGTGTTGTCTGGTGGATTCTCCATCCACTGGAGAATTGTGTGGACTTGCTGTACAGAATGCTCTTCTTCTTGTGTCCATGCCATTGTGCTCCGTGGCAAACAGCAGGGCAGCCATACCCCTTCCAGGTCTGTGTGCAAGACAGCCTCTTTCATGCCAGAAGAACTGTTTGGGGAAGGTGACTTGTGTCCTGCTTTGGCCTTGGAGTCTTAGGTTCTAAGTGGGTCTGGCTTGCTCAGAGATGTAAACATTAATTTTACCTTCCTGTGCATACAGGAATACCCATATCTTGAAAAAGTGCTTTATATTTTTGAGTGGAGGCTGTAGACTGAGAAATTACCAAGGTGTTTGTCAAAATCCCAATTTTGTATATGAAGAACACGCTTCTGGAAGGGTGCTGTGTATTCGAGGCTTGCCTCTGTTCTCTATTTCCAGATGGACAATGGAAGCACCATTAATGGAAGTCTTGTTGTTATGTGGATGATTCTGTGAAATGAGCGCTGTGATTTTTATTTGTAATGGTGTGAAAGGTGAGAAGGTATTAAACTGCCATCTTGGTCTTGTCTGTGATTTTATGTAGGAGTGACAAGGTCAAAGTTTATTCAGGCATGATAATGAAGTAGAGTAAAACCATTCTGATCATTTTCTGGTAAAGACATGCTGTTTAAAGGCTGCATATTTAAACACCTCTATTTGGTGGTTACAAATGATCAACAATGCTAGAAATGAGAAATGCCTAACTCCAGTGTTGGTTATTCATGCCTTGCATGTAGCAGAGACTTGAAAATGTCAATGGATTTGTCCCCAAGTATGGAGTTCCAGCAGGGGAAATGGGAAGAGTGTGTCGAGAGTCTTCAGTGACTTCAAGGAATTCCATATCCCACCTTCAGATTTGCAATGTGGCATTTTAGAATTTTAAATTATAGAAGTGGAAATAGAAATATGGAAAAATGAAGCAGAGGCAGGAATAGGGAGGGCCATGCACCCGTAGCTCTGTAACCTGGAAGCTAATGCAGCGAGAGGAGCCCAAATTTAGGGCTAGCCTGGGGTAGCTCCCTGTCTCAAAAAAACCCAGAAAAATAATGCTAATAACATTTTTTCCCCTACAAATCCATTTGACAGCAAAAGTGTTTTGAATCCAGTGACTGCCTTTCTGACCTGTGTACAGTGGGACATCCTCACCCAGCTCTTTAGACAGGTTTTAACAAACTATTTTCTGGTCCATCTGTGGCTGATGCCTTCCACTTGTACTTTATGAATGATGTCATTTATGGATATTTATTCTTTTTAAAGCGATGTTCCTCAATTAGCAATGAACCAAAGGCATTCTATAATCTCATTTGATTCTAATTTAACAAAAATGCTAGTAGGTAGTGGACACTTGAGCAGTGTCTGCTAGTTCAACTGAATCCAGCCTTCAGGACAGCTCTGCCCTCCAGATTCATCATCTCTCTAGAATCTTCCAGCTGTGACAAATGACACCCTCTGTTTTTCTCCTTGGAGAATCTTTCCTTCCTTCCAAGTCTCTTGGTTAGCCAATGATGGCCTTATTAATCAGTCCAGGTCTCTACTCTCAAAAATTGAATTTAAATCTCTCTCACCCAAGACCCTGGAGGCATCCCTGATGAAAATGATTAGGTCATAAAGAAAAGCACACGAAGCTGGGGGGGACTAGGTGGGAAGAGGATGGGGATCGGTATGAAGGGAACAGGAGGAAGTAAGGGGTGCGAATATGATAAAAACACATTGTATGTATGGAAACGTCACAATGAACCCGTTATCGTACCCAATCAAAAATATGCTAATAAAAAGAAATTTGAATTTAGAAGTTCTAGGGAGTGGCCTGGATACTCATATTAGAGGTCAGAACAGTAGCAACCACAAAGCTCGCTAATTGATTCTGATGCTGTAAGAAGGCCACAGGGGACAGCACAATAAAGGGTCAAGTTTGAAGCCCAGTGTCAGCATAAACATCTCAGAAGACGGCCACAGAACGTAGCTGTGACACAGTCGGTGTGACAATAAGGTCGGAGAACTTTAGCTCTTGGTTAACGTTGTCTGTCTGTTGTCTTTCCTTCTGTCTCCTCAGCCATCATGTACGTCATGGGAGCCCTTGGCCCTGCAGTAGGATATTTACTAGGTGGCCTACTCATTGGGTTTTATGTCGATCCCAGAAATCCTGTTCTCCTTGATCAGAACGACCCTCGTTTCATCGGAAACTGGTGAGTGGTTTCTACATTTTGCATCTCACTTACTAAGATGGTCCACTTTGTAGTTACAATTTCCCCAGTGAAGAGGGGAAAATGCAGCTAGGCATTACCTGTGTTAGATGGTAGGTAGGGTAATTTCCTCCACAAGTGGCCATTTCCTTATCCCCAGAGCTTATAGAATCTGGGACCTTCTGTGGTGAGGGGACTTTGCAGAGAGGATCAAATGGAGGATTTTGAGAAGGTGGAGTATCTTAGGTGAGGAGAGGAGGGAGATAGTCAGATTCAGAGGTCTGCTGATTTAAGCTGAGGTCATGGCAGGTCACTCTGAAGATGGAGGAAGGGCTGGGAACGAAAGAATGCAGGTGGTGTTTCTAGAAGCTAGAAAGGAAAGATGGGCTTCTCTCTAGCTAGGACTTTCAGATGGGATGTACAGATGCCTGAGGCCCAGACTTAGGAGCTGAGTTGATGTGTTGTTGGAGCTGATGAACTTGTGTTATACAAGCCCGTGTGTATAATAACTTGTTATAGCAGCAACAGGAAACTAACACAGAGGCATTTTGGGTCACTGTGTCTAAGCAGAATTCAGGAAGAGGGCTTCCGTGCCCCTGAGGGGACTTTACTGAAAGGTTGCTATCTTCCATTATCTTTTCTGTGCTTTAGAGAAAAAAAAAATACTTTCTGTTCTACTTAGGTTTCTGTTGCTGTGGTAAAACACCGACCCCAACTAACTTGTGGGAACAAAGTGTTTATGTCAGTTTACAGAGTACGGTCCATCATTGGGGGGAGCTAAGGAAGAAACGTAAGATGGGAGCTTGAAGCAGGAATCACAGAGGAATGCTGCTTGCTGACATGCTCTTCAAGGCTTGCTCGGCTGTGCATCCTTACATACCTCAGGGCCACCTGCCCAGGGTGGAACCACCCACAGCGGGCTGGGTCCTCTCATATCATGTCATTAATGGAGAAAATGCCCACAGATTTACCCACACCAGTTCGATGGAGGGAATTTCCCAGTTGAGATTCCTTCTTTCCTGGTGAGCCCAGCTGGTGTATGACATTGACAAAACCTTAGAAGCATGTGTCCCCCCTGGCTCAGCTCTCCAGCCCCCCTTTTCCATTGCTCCACTCTGGGCAGATCTCTCTTTGGACATAATTTGTTTTCCCACGCATGCTGTACATTTCATTGTTCTCTCACTTGCTAGACTTTAAGAGTCCTGCCTCAGCAGTGATGCTCAGAACTCCGGGGAATCCCAGCAGTAGGTGGAATGGTATTTATCTGCCTGCCAGGCTAGTGTTTAGTTCTTCACAATCCTCAATTTGCACAAAACAAGCTATTTCTTCACGACAGCAAAGCCACTAACCGAAAATATTGGTGTCCTGAGTTCATGTTGCTGGATCAGTAGCAGGTATATACTGATAGGTTTCCATGGTATGGTAAGACAGTATTTTAGTATTAGAAATTACATGTGCCACACAATTACTTTTTGAAGAGGGGCCTGGAATGCTTTATTTTATTTTTAGTGTAGGATAAGAGCCCCTCTGTGGTTGGTGGGATACATGCTTAACACAAACTTCTAAGCAGTTAACAGGTAGTTTGACAGTTCTGATTTTTATCGTGACCCTCACTGAAGTTAGACAGGCTAACACCCAGGTGAACTTGGCCTGTAGAGTGAGTCATACCTGAAGGAGTGCCCTTGTCAGTGGCAGGGGGAATAACATGGGGTTTTGAGTTCTTGACTGATAGTGAAAAATTTTGGTCTCAGCTGTTTTCCTTGCAGTTCTGGAATGAGTCAGACTAGAAATTGTTTTTCATCATTAGAAAACAGATTCCTAAAATGTCCTTATGAATGCCCAGTGCCTTCCCTGTGACCTACTTAGATATCCTGAGATGAGTGTGGGAGGAAGGGAACGCAGGGGGGCCGGGGGGTCTGCAGCTGGTAAGTGGGGGGGGGGGGGGGGGAAGACAAGCACCAATGGGAGGGGCAAGGGGCAGGGAGGACGGAAGAAACTTTCCCCTGACCTGCCTCATGCTGTCACTTATCGGTTTTCTAAGGACAGGCACTTACTCACCAGTGGCCGAGTGCCTTGATGGGGAGCACAGACCACAAAGTCGAGTTCTTCTAGAGTGCTCCTCGTAGCTGTGTGGACTTGGGGAAATGACTTCCCTGTGCCTTGGCTGTAGGCCTGTGGCGAGGAATGAGGAGACTGTGAAGAGCTCTCAGTTTGTCCTGTTTTACCTCTGTGGTATGGCCTAGCCTTCAGTCGTCTTTCTGTAGTTCATTAGGGGTTCAGCGAAGGCTCTTACACATGGCGGGCAGGCGCTCTATCTCTATGGTACATGCCCAGCCTTCCCGTTTAGCTTTTCATTTGTTTATTTTAATTATTTAGTTTAGCTCACCAACTTGCTCAGGCTGGCCTTGAACTCACTTGCAGCCAAGGCTGGCCATGACCTGGCAGTCTTCCTGCCTCAGCCTCCTGAGCAGTTGGGATCATGGACCAGTTGACCAAGGCCTCTTCAGTGCTTTGAATTTTGCCCATGGTTAGATAATTTTGTCTCTCCCCTTGATGACTTAATCTTAATTCTAGAAATGATTGTGAGTTTAGAACTATCCGAGTCTGTTTCCAGAGGAATTTGAATTTTTTTTCTGTTCAGTAGTCTTGCCGGTGATGTTTCTCATTGAGTGCAAGCCCTAGCAGCAAAGAAGAGTTCTCGTTAAATGGAGGCTGAAGGAGTGAAGGGCGAGATGATGCTGACATTCATCAGACATTTAATGTGTGTCAAGCACTGTACCAAGAGCTTTACACACCCACCCAGTTAAGCCTTTTAACAATCAAATGCAGCCTTTAACATCGTGCCCATTTTACAGGTTGGGAAATTAATACTCTGGGAGTTGAATTACTTGCATAAAACCTCTGTGTGGCATTATGGGTTAAGGAACTGATGGATGGGGCTGTTTGCCAGTCTAATGCCCCCCTTGTGACTGGTTCATGAAAGAGATTTAGATACCTGGGCCTCTCAGTGTTAACTGTCATTGAGGTGTCTTTTCCCAACACATTGCTGCACATTCTCCTGTCCTGGCTTCTCTCAGAGTCCTCTTCAGCAGTGGCTCGGTGGCTGTCAGTATCTCATGTTTCATACGGTTAGTTCTTGAAGCTATTGAGGAATATGAGCTGGTGGTTTGCTTCGCTTTGGGTTGGCCCCACACTGTCCTGTTTTTATTTGCTTGCTGTAATTCTTCCCTTCTTCTGGGCTGTTAGGGTGTATCTCCAGGGTTGGAAAAATAGCTCAGTGGGTAAGGGTGTTTACTTTGCAAGTCTGGTTACCCAACTTCACGCCCCAGAACCCATATAAAGGTTGAGGGAGAGAACCCATTCCACAAAGTTGTCCTCTGACCTCCACACATGGAATGTGGCAAGTGCATTCATTACCCCCATATCAAAACATACTTGTGTTAAATAAACATCTTAAAGTCTAACAAACTTTGGCATGAAATTCTACATCATCATGGGCTAGGTCAAGGTTGAAAATCTAGTCTGAGTGCAGATCTATGTTAAACACAAAGCCAAAGTATCTACTGCACATTAGATGCTGATTTGGAGTGGGTGTTTCATTAGGTCGGTTATAAGCATTCTCTTCTTTAAATTTGAGGATTCTCAGAAGTATTTTTTCACCCCCTTTCCAGATGAGAAATTCAACTAGGAAAAGTGAAATCATTCCCCAAGATCTCATAGTTAGTAAGGGGTGGAGACAGGATCCAAACCCAGATGTGTCTAAACCACAGCTCATGAATCTCCTAATTCCACTGCCTGCCCTCTCAAGGAGTGAGGACGTGGGGCTTAGATAGCAAAGCAGCTTGGGGACTCTTAATTCCAGAGGGTAATGGAGGACGATTGCTGAGGGCCCGTAAGCAACCAGGTTCGGAAGGAGCCATGTTGATCTATCTATGTTCCCCAAGACTGATGCCTGCCATCCATCTTAAATCTATTTCTTCCAATGTATGTATTGGGCAAAATTTTTGAATACCTACCCTGTCCCAAGCACTAGATTGGTGACAACACACCCCCTAGGAAGCTTTCTGGAACATAAACTACAAAATAAGATTCACGGTCAGCTGTACTTTTTGGAGTTTGTTTCTTAAATCTTTGGCTTACAGTAGTTATAAGTTTTTCATGACAAAGATCAACTCCGAATGTCTTGATGTCCATCATATTTGTTAAATACTGTGAGGCTTGGATAAGTGGGGATGAGCAATACATTCTTAAGTACTTGCAAAAATATTTAAGCCTCATCAGCAATAAGAAATCCACTGAACATAAAGTTAGGGTGTAGCTTTGATCTCTATCACAAAATGACAGACCAATAAACTACATTTGACCAGAGCTGTTTGCTTTCTTTTAAGTATATTGCTCCTTAAACCATGTGAGGTAGTCTATTGTTTTTCTAATAAATTTATGGTAGCCAGGTACGGTGGCTCACGCCTGTCATCCGGGCATTGGGAGGGAGAGGAAGGAAGGTCAGCTAGGCAAGGTCACCCTGAAATAATAATCAATTGAGGCCAGTTTGGGCTACATGAGACTCAGGCTCAATAAAGCAAAATAAAACAAAAACTGTTATGAAATGCACACTTTAGCAGAACTAACCATGTTAGCAGAACTAATCCAGACTCAGATTTCTTGAATGACATTCTAATCAAGTTGCTGAATATAATCATCACTATAATCCTAGTATAATTATGAATTTTTTCTATTCATGACACAAGAAGGCAAATTACCTTAATTTTTTCAGTTTGTTCAATTTTCTTCTGCCTTATACTTGATGAAGGTAAAATGATTTCTTTGCAGTTTGATTGTGACAAATCTATTTTTATGATTTGTTCTTACTCCCAAACTGAAGCCATAAATACTACTCACATTTCCCAATTTTTTAGGTGGAGTGGATTCCTCCTTTGTGCCATTGCAATGTTTCTTGTGATATTCCCAATGTTTACTTTTCCAAAAAAGCTTCCACCTCGACACAAGAAAAAGAAAAAGAAAAAATTTTCTGCTGATGTCGCTGGTGACGATGACGTCATCAAGGAGAAATCAAACACGAGTGAACAAGCGAACAAAAAAGTGTCTTCAATGGGCTTTGGAAAGAATGTCAGAGGTAAAGTATCGCTCTTCAATAAATGCATGGTCTTTAGGCCAGGGCTCTGCCGAGCGTGGGTCCAAAGAGGTATGTATGGCTCTGTGGTAGAGGGCGGTGCTGGGGCCTTGACTTGGATGGGCAGCAGGTCTCTGAAATAAGAACTGTGTGGCCCCACACCAGCGTCCCTCACAGATGTTTGCTGATAGCTGGGCAGACTTGAGAGAAATGCTGCACATGCCACTTCAGAAGTTTGAGAGAATGGCCTCTTTGAGAGGAGGTGGCAGACAGTGACACAGAGTGGCAGTCGAAAAGAGGGACAAATAAGAACCAAGCAAAATGGCATATATGTATAAAAAAAAGCTACAATGAAACCTGCTGTGGGACGGTCTGTATGTCAAATTGCTCTGATTGGTCAATAAATAAAACACTGATTGACCAGTGGCCAGGCAGGAAGTAGGTGGGAGAAGAATAGAGGAGAATTGTGGGAAGCAGAAGGCTGAGGCAGAGAGACACTGCAGCCGCTGCCATGACCAGCAGCATGTGAAGATGCCGGTAAGCCACCAGCCACGTGGCAAGGTATAGACTTATGGAATGGATTAATTTCAGCTATAAGAACAGTTAGCAAGAAGCCTGCCACGGCCATACAGTTTGTAAGCAATATAAGTCTCTGTGTTTACTTGGTTGGGTCTGA